ATCTACACTATCCTCATCTCAAAGGAATGAATATTTGAATGCTGAAAGTCACCAAGGCTCTTTTATAAATCAATGAAGACATTTTCAAATTCAAGAACTTGGCCTCTGCCCCCTTTGCAGTACCCACAACATACAATTAAGCAGAACAAGAGATGCTTGATTTCTGAATCCCACTTGTGCATTAGACTACCAGATGCTGTATCAGAACACTACCCAGACATATATGCTCTTCCTGTTGCTACTTCTCTTCAAATCACTTTAACATACTGTCACATCATTTTATACTGAAAAAAATTAAACTTAATGAATACTAAAATTTAGTTCACCAAATCTACTATCAAAATACTCTTAACAAAGAATTCTGATGAAAACAAACCCTCAGTAACAAGTTATCATGAGAACTAGTAAGGTAACTACATAACTAGTTTGGGTAACTACAGCTAACTAGTATCATAAGACTTGATTATTATTATGCTACAAAAACTATTTTCCATGGCATAAAAAAATTACAGCTTAAACTAACATTTTATATCCAAGTTTTGAACAGATCTAAAGATCTATTCATTCAAAAAAATTCTATGCCTAAATAATAACTATATGAAAAATATAATACCTTTAAATAAAGGAATAAAAATGCCTTTACATTACTTAAAGGTATTCTTATTATGAAACACTCTGGAGAAATATTAGTTTTTTAAAGAGGTTTTTGCCTTAAGGCATGTGCATTTGCCAGGGAGAGAGAGAGAGAGACAGACAGAGACAAGTGAGAAGGAAACTGAAAAAGCACCCCCCAGGAGGAATGGCCACGCCCCAATACCCTCTCCTCCATTCTCCTTCCAGGATCTTGGGCACGCACTCAATAACATGTGCCTGGCACGAGTTTCAAGTCACTGGGTCTGGGACTCGAACCATGGTCGGTCATGTTGGAGTCCAGTGACATAACTGCTGTGCCATCTGCCGGCCCCTCTGGATACTAACTTTACTGAGAGTATGTTAAACCAGTGGTTCTTAACTTCTGGCAGGCTGTAAATTTCTGAGGATACTGAAGCTGTGATTAAAGAAAAATGCACATTTACAAATAAAAAAAAGTTCATATAATTGTGAAGATTCTCAAAAATAATGAAGCCCAAATATGTAGCCATACCTTAAAAATTCTTAAAACAATCACCTTCACAAAAGATATTTAGAAATGTAGCTATTATTCATGGCTTAAATGTGCATGAAACAACTAAGTCTATAGAGCCCTGATTTTCTTAAAATAGAATAAAATATCTGTGTGTACAATTTAAAGGAAATTTAACATGTGCCACATATTTTTAACACATTTCATGTCTTTAAATCTATTAGTCATAAATACATTCAAATAAGTTTTGTATAGTTTTACTTTTAGCATTGAAATTTACAAAATAAAATCATCATTTGTATTATTTTTAGGCGATCCAAGCAAATTTTAAAAAGAATATTTAATTCACTCAAGGCCTACTCTATGTCAAGCAATATGCTTTGTTCATTATAATTTGAGAAAACCCCAAATCTTAGTATCTACTTAACTTTGCTCAAGTTATCTTTTATTTTTAGTAAAAAAAAAATTTAGATTTTTATTTTTCTATAACAAAAATGATATTACTCTAGCATATGTAAGTGCCAAACCATTTAAGGTTTTATACTTTTTAGATAAACAATAATTTGACATTATTTCAAGGAATACTGTTTTGGGGATAAAAATTTTAAAAGAAAGAAAGTGAACATTTATAACTGAAAATATCAATAGGTTACACCTATAGCACAGAAGTATTAAAATAAGTCATCACTAAGAAAGGTACATAAAGTCCACCACCTTTTTTATTATATAACCTCAGAGTGGAAATGTCAAGAACCTTTCCCAGGCCTTAGAAAAAAATAACATTTATGGACAGAAAATGATGGAAGATGTTGAAAGATAAAACAGTTTTCTGAAAGACAGACAGACGTTTTCTCTTTGCTCATCTCCAGAGTAACCAAATAACTAAAAAGAAAAAAATATGAAGAAATAATAAATGCAAAACCATTGATCATGCCCGTATTTTTGGAAAATATTTTAGCTTAGGTGATTGTCATCTGTATGAAGAAAACTTTAAAAATAAGTCATAAAGAACAGAGGAATAGGGACCAGCAGTTAGCGTAATGGCTATGTCACCGGACTCCCATGTAGTCGACCGCGGTTCGAGTCCCGGACCCAGTGGCTTAAACTCATGCCGGGCGTGTGTGTGTGTGTGCCCAAGATCCCGAGAGGAAAATGGAGGAGAAGGGATTGCAGCGTGGCCATCCCCTCTGGGGGGTGATTTCTCGCTTTCTATCTCTCTGTCTGTCTCTGTCTGTCTGGCGAGCGCACGCACCCTATAGCAAAAACCTCTCCAAAATAAAAAAAAATAGTAAGAACTCAGGAATATATTTAATATGATGTACTGACCCATTTCCAATGGTTCCAGAGAGTACTTTCAATATTAATAGGAAATATAACAGAATGATAACTTTCATGTTAGAGCTAGATAGAAGAGTAGTTTCTCAGCTAATTTAATTTAATTTATTATAATTTCACCCTAAATTGAACTTGTGATACCCATTTGAAACTAATGAAACACCTACCTACAAATATGTACCTACTAAAATGCTTAAACAAATGCCACAGTATTAAGTTTTCAACTACCTTTTTTTTTAAAAAAAAAAAAAAAAAAAAAAAAAGGGAGGAAATTTTTTTTTTTAAAGCGAAGGAGGCCAATGGTATATATTTTCCATGACTCCTTTTTTTTTAAAAAAAAAAAAAAAAAAAAAGAGAGAGAGAGATTTTTGCTATAGGGTGCATGCACTCACCAGAGAGACAGAGAAAAAGACAAAAGAAAGAAATCACCCCACTAGGAGGGATGGCCAAGCTGCAATTCCTTCTCTTCCATTCTCCTCTCAAAATTTTGGGCATACACACACATCCGGCATGAGTTTTAAGCCTCTGGGTCTAGAACTCAAACCGTGGTCAACTATGTGGGAGTCCAGTGATGTCACCACCATGCCACCTGCTGGTCCCTCTAACTACATGCTTTAAGATCTAAAATTAGTTTTAACATTTTATATCTTGTATTTTTAAAAGGCTGTTTTTTTTTAAGCAAATCTAAACTAGTCTGAACAAAATAATTATTTCTGATACAAGGAAGGATCTGTTATTAGGCTAAATTAAATTGACACTTGATTAGAAAAATCAAATTTTTTTGATTGGTTATGGATCCCATTTTTTGGGGTGCTTTTTAAACACTCACATAAAAGATAAATTATAACACTGCTCAGAGGTCTGGAAAATGTTTAAGGAATTTTAGATGTACAGCTGATAGGTAGATTATGTTCATGTAAACAATGTGAACATACTTCAATGGGAGAAAAATCGTAGTAATTATTATTTACAAGAAAAACTTTTTAGGCTACCAGGGATATTCAAATTGTGACACTGCTCTCTAAGAAGAAGGGAAAGTGTTTACAAATTTAACTGAACCTGAAAGAACCAAAGTACAGAAATGGTAAGGGACAACTGGGGGTGAGGGGTGGTAGGAGCAGGAGATGAGTAAAGGAGCAAGAGAGAAACAATGGTGAGGAAAGGAGACATTGACAAATCGTTGGTAACACAAGCTCTAAGTACACTTGATAGTTTACATGCTATAATAAAACAGATGCTCTGTCCCATAGTGTTTATCCTCTTTCACTCTTCTTTCCAAAAAGGTCTTCGATGGACATCAAAACCAGTAATTTACCTTACTTATTAGATTATCCCTGGAAGAAGTACCAGTTCCAGGTTGATATAGATCTTTGAGTTTCAGTGTATATTTCATTTTGTTTTCATTTTTAGAAGTGTCCAAGACTAGATGATGATTTTCCAGTAAAGGTTCTAAAAACATAATCTGTATGTGCAGCTTAAATGTTTTATAGATACAACCTGTCAGCATTATGAATTCAGTATGATTCTGCATACCTTACTTTACAAATCAAAGTACATGGCAGTAGAGATGGGTGATGTTAATTATCTAAGAAATGTTTAAAATTTCTATATTGGGCCAGCAGGTGGCATGGTGGTTAAAGTGCTGGAATTCCCACATAGCTGGCCATGGTTTGGGTCCCGGACCTGGCGGCTTGCTTTCTCACTCTCCCTCTTGCTCTGTCTCTCTGTCTTTCTCTGGCAAAACTCATGTGAAAAATACTATTAACAATAATAATAAATAAATAATTATTTTAAAAAAATTTCTATATTTAAATTAATGTGTTATAAAGTAGGTGCAAAATTTGCATTTTTTTTAAGATAGAAGAGAAGACTTCAAAGAATCATAGCTCTCTCAAGAAGTCATTTTGCACTCAACTTCAGGATTCCCAGAGTATAAGTTCATTTGCTCAAATTCTTCTGCCATTATGGGGATACTTACAAGAAAACGATTAAGAAGCAGTTTTCCCTATGCAATGATCCCTCATGTAGTATACTTTTTTCCTGCTTTTCATAATACTTTACCCAATTATAAATTACTACTATAGCATTTATAATCAAACATTTGAAAGGCAATACAAATGTATTTAGAATAAGTTATTATTTTAGAAATTTAGTACAAAAAGAGGACTTTCAGGCACATACACACAACAATATTCTGTTTCTGATGCCTTTAACAAGATTTTCTGTGACACAGGATTATCACTGACTACAAAAAATGGGGCAATATCAAGGTCCAGATAGATTTTTTTTCTAAATAACCATTTTTTTCTTTCCATTTATTTTTGTGTTTTTAAAAAGCCTCATATATAACTTCATTCATAGTTAAATTTTGCTTTAAAATTGTAATTACACATTTGGTCCATTGTACCAAAATCTAGAATGTAAAACTCATGTGTTCAAATGTGAATCACTAACATACATGACTTCAGTTCTTATAAATTAATAGCAAATGGTGCTTATAACTTGATACCTGGACCTCACTGGAAATAGTTACTCAACTTACCTGGTGCTAATCCAGCAGTAGCAGGGCTTCCCATGGAAGGGTGAGAGAAAACTTGAGAGAAGGCAGACATATTTGACTGGGACACGTTACTCAGCCTGGAGGTTGATCCTCCCTTAGGAATAAACTCGCTTGCAGTAGGATTTGGTGTCTATTTAAAAACCAAATATAGTGAGTTAACACACTTTAAGCCCCCACAAGACACGGAATCTACTAGGCATTATTCCACATGCTTTATATACCGAATAAAATATTTTCCTGAAAAGATTTATGAGTATTCTAATTTCCATATTTCAGTGTGGCATAATAATATTTCTTAGGGAAAACTTGATCATCAATTTTGAGGATTTTAATCATTTCATTTATAGAATTTTAATTTCAGTAACAATAAAATTTGCCTCTACTGTAAGCATGCATCATTACTGAACTATCATAACACTTTTTAGAGAACTGGGAGGTTCATACTACCTCAAAACTGAGCAACAAGTTTCAAATTTAGTATCTTTAAACCACTTCTACAAGTACAATGGTCAAAACTACCTTCCTTCTAAAATTAATCACTTCCCGCTTTGTAGGCATTTAAGATGTTTCCCCATTAATATGGCGCCATGATTAAAGTAACAAAGGACCTAAGAAAAACACTTAAAAACAAACATGGGAGGAACCAAGAGGTAAGAAAAACTAAACAGAAGTCCCACTGTCTATACAGTATCACATGTTAATTTGTTAGATTAAAAATGCTCTTACCATGAGATTATGCGTAAGAAGTTATTTTTCATGGTGGTACTATGTTACAACTTTTAATATATTTAAGTGGTATAAAACTTTTGGCTTTAAGAATTACTAGCGCATTTTAAGAATGGATATCAAATTTACAAAAAGTCTATATATTGTCCAAGCTAAATTTCCATAAGAGTCAGAAAATAAAAATATGGACTAATGACTATACACCCCAAAACAACCTCCCAATTTGTATGAATGACACTTTAAACTGTCAAAGTTCAAAACACTAGATTTGAAAAGTAACAAGTCAACAGGCTGACCTAGTTGTAAACTAATGATACCAGTTATAAGCCAGGTAAACAGAAAGTGATAAAATATAGGAGAAATGTTAAATCTGGGTTTAATCAAAATACACTAGAAATACAGAATTAACTTTTTTCGCTGTCACATCTCAGACATAAATTCTGAAAAAGTGTAATAGGCATAAGCCAAAACTTCTTTTATCACTTTAAAAGTATTTTTAAAACCTTTCCAATTCTGAAGTTTTCAAAAATAATGGTAAGTGCTTTAAATGGCCAGCCAATTCCTTAATTTTGGGAATAAAAAACAGATAGTGTAATTATTGATGTACTACTCCCTAGGGAACAAATAGCTACTAAGATGATGACAAGTATGTCAAAGCTACTGCATATCAATAAATCCTAAGTGTCTTTTAGAAAATGAGAGTCAAGATAAAACCATTAGGTATCTTGGTAAAAGAGTATAAAACTTCAGATTATTAACAGGCAGGAAAAATTAGACCAGGAATATCACATACATATATAAATATTTTTAGTGTATAACTGAGAAATAGCAATTACCCAGTTTCCATTTCACATACGTCCTAGAATTAGTGATTAACAGATTAGCTGATTTCAAAGTTGAGTTTCTCTATCTTAAGTCAATCTTGAATTACTTTGAAAGCTCATTTTAAGGGATACTGCAAAGGAATAAAAAGAGGTCTATTCTCCCTTCAACAAACAAATTTTATGGAATAGAATTATAACAAATTATTGGGTCATCGGAATAGTTATGATGTGTTTTTCTATGCAAAAATACATCATGGCTTTTCCAACAACCTGATAGACCTTCAAATTTATTATAATGCTATTAAAAATAATATAACTATTAAAATTAATAGGCTGAACTGTAGTTTTAGAGATTCAATAACCAAATACCCAACAATGAGTTTAAAAAAAAAAAGGTAAGAATGGCCTAAATCTTTCCTTCTTTTATGATTTAATACCCCTTGAGGCTGATCTGGGAGTTTTTATTTAGCGGTCAGCACTTGACATTAAAAATAAAAATACTTAAATGCATAAAAAATTCTATTACAATTACATAGGATTCAGGTAAATCGAGAACAAATCTAGGTATGAGAGTTATTCTATCAACAGCTAACGTAAATTAACTGTAGTGAGATCAGAATACTAACAAATATATTTAAATACTGAGAAATTGAGACCTAACAGAATGCTTTTTCATGATAAAAACTTTTCAAAAATATTTATAGGTTGAGTATCTCTAACCCAAACACCCAAAATAAAAAAATGCTCCAAATTCTAAAACTTTTTAAGCACTGACATAATACCCCAGGTGAAAATTATACACCTGACCTCATGTGATGGGTTACAGTCAAAACGCTTCAGGACAAAAATACTGTATAAAATCACCTCAGGTTACACATTTATTTATGGATCATAAATAAATTTTGTGTTTAGACTTGGATCCCATCTCCCAAGATATCTTATCACATGTAGGCAAATACTCAAAAGTCTGAAAAAAAATCAAAAATCAAAAACACTTCTGCTCCCATCATTTTGGATAATGGATACTCAAAATCTGTACAATAAAAAAAATACATTCTTGAAACTTCTTTACTATTACTGGCTTAAAATAAAAATAGTTTTATAAAAACTAAAAAAGTTAGAAAAACAACATAAGCATACATATTTCACTTGTTAGGTTAATACTTTTTTGAAAAATAGTACAAAGTGGAAGTAAAAACAATACATTAAAAACATAGGTTTAGAAAATAAGCTATTTTAGGTTTACGAGGTAAGAGATTTACTAGGAAAAAGACTAAAGGGCTTGAATTACACCAATTACATTCTTACCTTCAACTACACTAAGGAGTATGGAATGAATAAGCAGTGGAGAAGGGAAAAAAAAAAATCAAAGTTTTACTATCTCTGCTCTATGATTCAAGTAATCCCTTCCTAACTTACCTAGATATGTCTCTATAACATAAAATCTGATATTTACAAAATATTTTGATAAGGGCTAATATGCATTATTATAAATCCTAATTTGCATTTACAGCTTTAACAGTTCTAAATGAGCACTTAAAAAACAAAAACAAAACAATGCTTATTCAAATCAAATAACAGACATTCACTGTGTGAGACAAATACAGTTTTAGGCCCAGCATGGTAATATATGACTGGACACTGTTGCCTGAGCCACATGGCAGGCTCAGGTTTGATTCCCAGCCCACAGTGAAATGCTAAGTACAATGGCAAGTGCCAATCTTCCCAAATGACTACTTGAAGCAGCTGAGCCAAAAAGATCCCAATACACTGATATCCTGTCTTTAAAAACACAAAATTTAAAAATACTACACACATGTATCACAACAAATAACACACACACACACACGTTTTGGGTTTTCATACACATATATTTACCCTGCAATTTTGAGCCAAACACAACCAAGTGTTTCTTACATCAGTTCTCCACCATGACATCAACCCAACATCTGGATATGATCCACACCCTCTAGACACAAATAAACTAAATCAAGAGTCCAGAACTTTAGAACTTAATGGGTGTTACTATTCTTATTATCATAAATATCTTAAATGAGGTAATGATTTAACTCAGACATCCCACTAAATAAAACTGGCAATTTCCTATCTACAAGTGACCAATAAAGGTTTACCACAAATGAAATAATCTGATAAGGTTTTTAATGCTGGTTTGAAAGAATTTATTTTTCTATCATATTATTCCACAGAAACTTTTTAAAAAGAATTGTTTAGCTTTATTTATTTATTTTAATTTGACCAGAGACAGATACAGTGAGAGACAGAGAGAGAGAGGGAAAGTGAGAAAGCAAGCTGCCAGGTCTGGAACTTGAACTGCATGCAGTTGGCCATGTGGGAGTCCAGCACCCTTAACCACCATGCTACCTGCCAGCCCCAGAAACTTTTATTTTTAAAGTAAAATACAGTATTTAAAAACTATTATAAGGACCAGCAGTTGGCATAATGGCTATGTCACTGAGCTCCCATGTAGTAGACCGTGGTTCGAGTCCCGGACCCAGTGCCTTAAACTCATGCCAGGCACATATGCGTGCGTGCCCAAGATCCCGAGAGGAGAATGGAGGAGAAGGGACTGCAGCGTGGCTATCCCCCCTGGAGGGGGATTTCTCGCTTTCTGTCTGTCTCTCTCTGTCTTTCTGGTAAGCACACGTGCCCTATAGCAAAAATCTCTCAAAAAAAAAAAAAAAAAAACCTGTTATGAAGAGGGCTAGCAGATGGTATAGTGGTTAAAGGCACTAGATGCCCACATGGCCAACCACGGTTTGAGTACCAGGTCCAGTGGCTTGAAACTCACACTGGGCACCTGTGCATGTGGGCCCAAAATTCCAACAGGAGAATGGAAGAGAAAGGACTGCAGAGTGGCCATCCCCTCAAGGGTGATTACTCACTTTCCTTCTCACTGTCTGGCAAGTGTACACACGCTATGGTAAAAATCTTAAAAGAAAAACAAAAGATAACACACAAACATTTTAAAAGTAAAATTCAGACGAACTCTACCAAAAACAAAAAATGTATTTAAGACAAAGATTATAATGCAATACTGATATTAAGGAACTACTTTAATAATCTTCGAAAAGTTAAAAATGCAGTCATTAAATTTCTACCTAAAGATAAGAAAGATCATTTTATTTACACTGAAAATTCTATTTACATTGTTAAGTTCTATTAACACTGTAAACTCTATTTACACTAAATGAAAATAGAATACAAGATACTTAATGACAAATACATAAAATTCTCTGAGAAAAAGAAAGCTGTCTTATAGTGGTAGGATGAGTGACACATGATCTAGTGGCTTTCTTAATAGCTTTAGAAAAAACTGTCATACAATAAATCATACATATTTAAAATGTAAACTTTTATAAATCCTGATATCAATATTCAAAAATGAAATCATCATCCAAATCAATGTAATGAATATATATCCATTATGCTAAGTCTCACCAGGTCCCTTTTTCAATCTCTTTTCAATTTTCTCTGCTCCCTAAACCAGCTCCAGGCAACGACTGATCAGCTCTCTGTCACTATGTAGTTTGCATTTTCTAGAATTTTACATAAATGAATT